GCTGATGGAGATGCGTAGTCAGCACGATCTGCAGATCAAAATGTACAAAGATGAGATTGAGAAGACCTACAACGCAAAGGTAGACCGCCAATAAAGTAGAAAACATGAGAGAGGGGAAAAAAGTTACTTAACAGCTCATGTCCTTGTTTTCTCTTCTGGTTCTTTGGAGAGGAGGATTAAATATTTAACAAACATCAGTGAATAATCCATTGTATCCAGTAGTTGCATAGATTGATGATATTGTATTTATCTTTGCATCTTGTTGTTTCTTGTCAGCTGGAAAACGCCCGTCTGTCGGCCGACAGGAGCAGCCACCTGGTTGGAGCCACACACGAGGAGCTCCAGCAGACTCGAATGCGCCTCGAGTCAGTGTCGTCTCAGCTCAGCCAGCTGCAGAAACAGGTGATCTGAAATGAGCCGGCCACACAGATCACATTCATGATTTATGTGCGGCGACATAATACCAGTGGCCCTTAGAAGATGAAAAGCAAAAGAGGGCATAATTTGACAAATTACAGTAATCAAATGCATTGTTATTGCACATGGTAAGCAGTCATCCAGCTGTTATTAGATTCATACAAAGCCTTATTTTTTTACTTATGATATCACAGAGGCGATAAATGAGGAGCTAAACCCATCAACAATTCAATGAAGTAGATTTAAACAGCAGACAAAAGAAGATTCTCAGACATACTTGTGTTACAGTAGCACTCGTCTTTGACTGATTTCTTTCCTCTGACCCAGCTCGCAGCCCGCGAGGCAAAGATCAGGGACCTGGAGGACGCGCTGTCTCGAGAGCGAGACACCACCCGCCGCCTTCTGGGAGACAAAGACAGAGAAATGGCTGAGATGAGGCAGCGAATGCAGCAGCAGCTGGATGAGTACCAGGAGCTCCTGGATGTCAAGCTGGCTCTGGATATGGAGATTTGTGCTTACAGGAAGCTGCTGGAGGGAGAGGAGCAGAGGTATGATAGACCAATCACCACACTCGCTCAGGGTGGGAAATGCATGCTGTATTAAAAGCTTTCAGAGAATCTGTGCTCCCAAACTGACAATTGATCAGTAAAATCTGGTGAGACAACAATAACAACAATAATAATTATTGGCCATATTTCAAGTTAAAACTAATGAATTAACAAACCCATAAGCTACTGCTAGAAGCTAGCCTTAACATTAAGACTCTCTCATAGCTTTTTGAAAAGCGTTCGGCATTACAGTAAGGAAAGCTCAATTAAAAATGTTATTTTATCAAATACTGATGGTAGCTAGCTAATGTGACATAGCCGTGTGTGGCTAGCTAAAGAAAGAATCATTAAAGCAATATTACTGAACCAATTTGGAGAGCTAATTCACAACCGCTAACGTTAGCTTTCAACCACTTGGTTGAAGCTAAAAAGTTGTTGACTTAGCTGTTTGTAGCTAATAAGATATTAAAACTGCATATTTTTGAACTTATTTTGACAGCTCAGTCACAACTGCTAATGTTAGCAGATCGCCTGCCTTGCCGTGTGATCATTAGCTGAACTGACAAACGCTAGCTTCCCATCGAGCATGTTAATAAGCTACACTGAGGTTTTGCAAGGCAGCACTATTACTTATTCCATAAGCTAATAATAGCTTGTCATTATTCTTCCTCATTGGTTAATAAACATCTTTATATTTGTCTCTACAGGCTGCGCCTCTCCCCGAGCCCCCCGCCCGCCAAAATGACAGGAAGTCGTTCCTCTTCTTCCGGAGCTCACGCTCGATCAGCTCACTACACTTCTCCGAACTCTGCTATGAAGAGACGCCGCCCCAACGACACAGACAGTGAGGCTTCCAGCTTCGCAGGCGGCGCTTTGGCCCGGACTCGCATCACCCAGCAGGCCTCAGCGAGCGGACGCATCACTGTGGACGAGGTGGACCTGGACGGGAAATACGTCAAACTCGGCAACAAATCCGATGAGGTGAGAAAATGAATGATGTGAAATCTGATTATTTTCTGCTTGTTTGTGGTGGATTTGACGATCTGTAATCTACCTGTGACTTCATCCCTCCATCAGGATCAGAATTTGGGGAGCTGGCAGGTGAAGCGGCAGGTTGGATCCGGCGCCGCCATCTTCTTCAAGTTCCCGGTGAAATTCGCCTTGAAGGCCGGACAGAGGGTCACGGTAAACAGCGTCTTCACTCAGCAGAATCACAAATTAACACAATGAGTGAGAGATAATCTCATCTTCATGTATCTTGTTTCATGGTTTTCAGATCTGGGCGTCTGGCGCTGGAGGAACCCACAGTCCTCCCTCGGACCTGGTGTGGAAGACTCAGGCCTCCTGGGGCACCGGAGACCTGTTCCAAACCACCCTGATCAGCGCCAATGGAGAGGTATTTGATAAAGAACAATATGAAATATGATTATGTGAAGTAGAATTATGTCAGAAATTAGCAAAAAATCATAATAAATAAACACTTTTTACTTTTTCCTCCAGGAAATGGCCATGAGGAAGGTGACGCGCACACAGTTTGAGGAAGACGATGATGACATGGTGAGAGAAAATGTGCTGTTAACGAATACATACACATTCATAGGAGGCACCAGAACAATCAATTCAAAGTTGGTGTGATAATCACAGATTTAAGAAACAAAAACAAAAACAAGGAACAGGAGCGATATTCAGAAAATACGACTTTTAAGTTTTGAAAAATTAAAGTTATTGTAATTAAATCTTTTGCTTACAAATGCAAAAAACAAAGCAGATCTTCAATGTTGATGTATTTACTGAATAAAGTGTTGCTTTATAATATATTATTAAGAAAAGTTGAAAACAACCAGATTGTGCAAGATAAATTAACATTTTTATTATAAGTTTATTCAGATAAGTTTTAATCAAGCTGCTGTTATTGTGGATAAATACATTTGTTATTTTTAGTTTTTAAAATCGGAGAAAAATAAGTAAAATATGCACCTTACAATTTTCCTTTGACGCCAGACTCTTCTCCTCTGTCGCCCCCCGGTGGTGGAACAAACTACCTAACTCCATTCTTTCTGCAAACTCCCTTTTGCACCTTTAAGAGAAAGCTAAAGACCCAGCTCTTTCTGAACACCTACGACCCCATCTGACAGCACTCACTCTCGTTGCCCTGCTAAGCATCACATGCATTGTTGTTTTGAAAACCAAAGATAAAAGAAAGAGAAACAAAAAGGAAGAGGAGTAAGTGTTGGAACACTGGTGGTGATAAACGCCGGTTGGATGGCTGATGAATTTTTGCCTCGTGCCCCAATAGACTGTAGAATCACCACTGGTCATGGGCAGTGTGTCCATATTGAATGCTCCAGTATCTACACTGTACCTGTCTTTGTGCCTCAGCAGGTTGCTCACAGCACCTGTGGGGACAGCGAGTATAACCTGCGGAGCCGGACGGTGGTCTGCGGCTCCTGTGGACTTCCCTCGGACAAATCCGGCAACTGCTCCGTGACGTCTGCTTCCCGCTCGTACCGCAGCGGAGGACTCTCCGAGGGTTTACTGCCGCAGTCCTACGTGTTCAGTGCCAGCACGCCTCGCAAGGTGACTCATACAGACGACCTATGACCTTTTGTGTTTTTAAAGATCCTGTTAGAAGAAAACAAAAAAATGAAGCTTTTATGAAATCTAAATGAAAGTTTAAGACGGTTTTTGTACGGTTTTTTCTGTAAGTATTTGAGTTTATCTATGTGATAACGTGATCATTGTCAATCTTTTCTCTCAGACTGGAACCAGACTGGAGAGCTGTCCGATCATGTGAGCCGGTGTGGATCCACCTGGAACCACTTCATCTGTTTTAGTTATTAATTCTTAAGTTACCCGTTGATGTTATTTAGTTCAAATCATGTACTTTGGAATATTTTCAAGATACTGAATGCAATAAAACTTTATACTGCTTTTTTTTATAATGTAAATAGGCATGCTTATGATAAACTGTCTTGAATTCCAGTGGTTAGTGAAGCAGTCACCTTTGTTTGAGGAGGTGACATTTCTTCATCTGGCAGTAAAAGATGAAACAACCATCTGCTTTACCAGCGTCAATCCGCTGTACCCACTTCTATAATCTAAAAAGATGATGATAATCACAGCTATATCCGGTTAATAAAGTTATACATTTTTACTCTAGTGCTATTTGTATCACCTTTCATTTAGATTTTTCACGACGCTCTGTCAACATGCTGATGCAGCAGTGTTGCAATACATCGTTTTCTTTATTACAACAAATACATTTTTTTTTTTTCTGGATTTAAACAAAGTTAAACACCAAACTTGCCTTAAAGCGACAGGATATTTTGTATTTTTGCTGAGATGAATAAACATGTTTTCAGATCTTGGTCCATGTTTTTCTCGTGCAACAACAATTATTTGAAGGCAGTCTTTAGTATTAGGATGACAATTTTCCTGCCCCTTTCTTTGAATAGAAACACAGAACATGCAGGCTAATTTAAATGCATGGTTAAACCTATTTGACTGACCGATTGTGGCTGTTTTGACTGTGGTTAATTTTCATGTCTGGTTCTTTGATTTAGTTTTGTTTTTATTCTGGGAGGCAGAGGGTCAAATATATGAAAATAAATCTGAACTGTATATTCAAAACTATCACATTGACTTCAGAATAAGATTCAGGTTTATTGTCAAGAAGGAATTAAAGTGGAAAGGAATCAGGAATTAGGAATTCAGCCTGTGTGTGTAGCATGTCTCAATAACAAGAGTGTAAAGAATTTAATTTCCCCTTACAAGGCAAGGCAAGTTTATTTATAAAGCACGTTTTATCAACAAGGCAAATCAAAGTGCTTCACATTAAAAGCATCAAGACAGGAAGAAAGACAAATTAAAATAGCATACTTACTGTGGGACCAATAAAGTATATATTCTAATTTATCGAACAAAAACGATGAACATTCAGGTACAATGAAAAGTGTAATGATGTTGAAAAAAAACATGTTTCCCAGTGAGTGGACTTTTATTTTGAAATCAGCGTTTTTTTTCCCCTCCCCAAACCCGGAAGTGAAGCGAGTGACACAGTTGGCTGTCAGTGTTGTTTCACGGTGTTTCCACCTTTTTATAAGTACATTATTGATCTGTAAGTTTTGTCGCTGCATGGTTTAAAAGAAGAAAAGTGCATGTGAAGTTGTTTTGAGGAGAGAGTTGTTAACATTTGGTGAGTTTTGATGATTATTTGTCACGAAAGTCAAGTCGAGCTCGTAGCAAACGTTTGTTAGCACCTCAACAACATAACAACACGAGCTGCACGTTTACCTGAACAGCTGTGTGTTCATGTTGTTTTATTTATGTCATTTATAAACTTAAACCCAACAAACAAACCTTGGTAAAAAAAAATTAAACTCTGTCATTTCTATCAAAGGGTTATTATTAGAGAATAAATGCAATATCAGCTTCGCGTTAATTTAATTACAATTAAATATTAATTCAAAATATTTACATAAACATTCAATACTAAAAAAGATAAACCAGTTTTCTGTGTTCATTTAAAAAAAACAAAAAAAACAAACATTTTATTACAGTTACAGTTTTTGTCCTTATATAAAATATAAAAGAATAGAATTAATTTATTGATCCCAAACTGGGAAATTGTGGCGTTACAGCAGCAGGTTATCCAAACACACAATATGAGTAAAAAACACAATATTAGCAAATCTAAACATAATATAATATTAAATACAAAGTAAATAAGTACTAAAAATATCAAAACTAAGAATGTGAATATATAAAACCAGGATTTAACTAAACATTACTAGTCTTAAATAGGAAGATTAAATATGAAAAATAAATGTAAATGTGCAAAAACAGAGTCGTAAATGTACAGTATTGACACAAGTTAAAGTGCATGAGTGTAAACATATTATCAGCAGAAACTATACAATATAACGGCGAGTAGACAGACAAATGAAGTGAACTTGAGTGCAGGGATCATTTGTAAATGTAACACGTGCAGAACAGATTACAGTAAAGGAGAGACAGATATTATCATTGAGCTCATGTATACATGATTTATATAGATTTGTTATTTAAGAGAAAGTAAATGTTTGAAACAGAATGGATAATTGGCGTTTGAACCTTTTCAGCTATGTTTTGACACTGGCATCATAACTGATGAAGGTCGGTTAGACCAAAACATGGGATTCAATAATGTCAGCATAGAGTGAGACAGTGTGAGGGAGCTTTTCTTAAAGTTTCACCACGTATTGGTATAAAACAAGAAGCAGTCATCATCTGAGCAGCAGGAACTAACATATGGTTGCTACTTTTTCCTTTATAAATCTAATGACTAATGTCTTCAGCATAAGTTCTGACTCAACAATTTGAAGATGAATTATGAGGGCATTATGACATTAACATCACTGGGAGAGATAAGGCGTGTTAAGTATTTAATTTCACAACTGCTTGGTATGATTAATTCACTTCAATACAATTTTAACTCCTCAGATTTAACCATGAAATTCAGACTCCTTAAAAATGCTGAGTATTCAAAAAACAGGAAATTTCCTTTCCTTTGAGAGTCTTTTTCTCTCCTGTAGAGCATGTTGCTGCATGAGGGCACAGCAGAGATCTGTGCACATCACCTTCAGTGACTGTGAGTACTGTTCAAAGCCTGCAGGGGGATGAGAAGAGCTGAGGAAAAGTGAAGCAGTGAAAACAGTGTAGCAGCTGTAGGAGGCAGCATTGGCAGCCGAATGTGCAGCAGAGCTTTCATAAGTTGGGGGGAAAGCACATGATGCTTCATGTGAAGGTTTCTTGTCTTTCTTGTCTCATTTATGTAACTTCATCACGTCGTTGGTTTACTGCGGGACACTCATTTCCTTCTGTTCAGGGTTAACTGCTGTGGTCACTTCTGTTTCAGGAGTTTCCATCCCTCTGGATGTTGAGTGTGCGGGCTCTGTTTGGGATCGGCTTCCTGGTGACCTCGAGGTCGGCGTCGGCTCTCGCTCAGACGGGGGCATGCCAGCTGTCTGCTGCCTCTAACAACCACAAGAGGGACTGCTTCAGCGGCAGAGCGGCATCCACCATGGCTCAGACCATCAAATACCTTGGGTAAATCAGGAAAAACATTATCCTCAGACTGTGTGTAGACAAAATAACTGACCTAAAGATGCTCCACAGGCAGGAGGAGGCCCAGCACATTGACGAGGAGCTCTTCAGTGAATACGGCTTCAGTGTGGATCAGCTGATGGAGCTGGCTGGACTCAGCTGTGCCACCGCCGTCACAAAGGTCAGATATCTTCAAGGGCTCTTAATTTAAGTTAACTTTATTTTGTATTTTTTATTCCAGTCGTATCAAACTTATGGGTTGGTTCTCTTGACATATTTATGAAGCAGCTCAGAAGCTGAAATGGTGCAGGGCTTATGGAGGTCTAGCTCACTGCCGGTTTCCCGAATGAAGGGACTGCTAGGTTAGGAACATCTGGAGGGAACACAGACTCCACATTTGCTCTTTGAAGAACGTCCTTAAACAGCCACTACTCCTTGCAGATGGTGTCCTTCTCATGTGCCAGAAGTTCACACATGTCTAGAGCCTTCTGTAGTTTTCTTCTGTTCCTCTTAACCAAAGCAAGAGTCAGGTAATTGATCTTAAAAAGTCATGACGTCGATTGACAGAACCGCTTTCTCCCCACATCATACAAACCTGCATATCTTTTATTGTTTGGTGTGGACAGATTCACTAGAGCATGCTGATAAAAGCATTGAGAACTGTAGACAGACAGCTTCACTACTCGCTGATTTAAACATGAACTGAGCCGTGTTTCTGACCCTTTCTCTCTTTTCACCGACGGAGCATCGCACACCACTCACACAAATACTGCTGTGAGAGAGCAAGGTCATTAATCACGCACGGTATAAATCCGTGGCGCGAGCAGACCGGTAATGCAAGGTAATATTATTTCCCTGAGTCACAGGATGTGAGTACAGAAGCTCTCAGCATGGCCATGGGTGCACACAAACTTAAACTGAGGACGACTACTAGTTTAATTTGATGCAAATTATTTAAATATAACTTCCAAAAGTCAACAATATTACAGACACTGTGTGTGTCCGACACTCTGCAGCAGGATCTCTAAAGATTTTTCTTTTCACGTGTACCAGGGTTGGAAATTATACCCCGGTCACCTGCCAAATACGGGTGATTTGAGACAACAAACCCTGTTCCTTGAATTTTGACAGGTAGGCCAAAAAGCTAATTTCCAACCCTGACGTATGCACACACCTTAAAGACCCTCTGGGTGTCAGATTCACAGAGTCTCTCCATCTCTAGCTTTGTTATCAGAGAATCAGGTGTTGCATTTACAGACCTGAGACATCATCGACGCGTCTAAAACAGATTACCGTGTTAAGAGAGGAATAACAGGATTACGCTGTCATCACAGGGAGGATTTCTGACTCTTGAAAAGCAAATCCTCTGTGTCTAGTTATCAGTTTCTGTGCTGTGAGGTATAGAACTCTATATTTAGTTATAGATTTCCCGTCTGTTTCTTCCTGCAGGCGTATCCAGTTACATCTCTGGTCAAGGCCAAACCCTCCCTGCTGGTGATTTGTGGACCGGGAAACAACGGAGGCGATGGCCTGGTCTGTGCCCGACATCTCAAACTCTTTGTAAGTGTCTACTACAAAACGACAAGACAAAAGACAGTAAAAACAACAACTGCGACTTCAAATTTTTAGTCCCAGAGGGGAAGTTTGTTTTGCAGCAGGGTGAAAACAGTAAACATATCGATACACAGGCACATAGACAACATTAATTTCATAAACACTAGGAGTCTATCAGGTAACAACAGGAAGCTGAGAATGTATAAAAACGTCCATACATCCGTTTTACAAACTAAGTGACATTATACTTTAAGAGCAGAACATGCTAATGCATTATTAAGTGTAATGGTGCAGTAGGTTGTGCAATGTGTGCTTCAGCACTGGCATGAACAAGCGAAAGTGCATTGCACTAGTCTGAAGCATCACGTGGCGTCACATAGAGGAAAAGGGGAGGGGGGGGTTACAGTCTGGCAGATCTTGCTCGGATGCTCTGGAGCCTTCGACCAGATGGCAACAGTTTGAAAAGGTGATGGGCGGGGTGCGTCATTATGTTGGAAGCTTTTCTGATGCACCACCTATCTTTGGATCATTTGTGTGAGGAGGGTAAGGAGACATATTCTCTGCTGCTCTCACTTCTCTCCGCAGGGCTTTTAGGTTTTCAGAAGCTGTGAGTTAAGATGCTCTCGACGGTTCCTCTGTGGAGTCACACGTTTTCACTGATGAAGCGGTGTTCGTTCATTTTCACCAAATGAATTCCTCCTACGCCTAATTTGCTCCATTAGTGTATTCTGCATTTCTTTACCCACAACCATTTTTCTTGTCCATGCAGAGCAGAGATTTAATTTACATTTTACGAAACTATCCGTCAGGGCTACGAGCCGACCATCCTGTACCCGAAGAGGCCAAACAAGCCTCTGTTCCAGGGGCTGACCACGCAGTGCCAGAAAATGGAGATCCCCTTCCTGACTGAGATGCCTGAGGTCTGTTGTTCATCAATAATGTAGGAGAGGTATTGACGGTGGTGAAAACAAATTACATCTGCATAATGTATTTATGACTGCTGTTATATTTCCAACCCTGCAAGCCGATCTTAACACATTATTAGATCTTTCACAGAGGGTTAAGTTTGACTTAGATAAAGCCTTCATTATCCCTGTGGGACAAATCTGGTTTTATTGTAACCTTTATTATTAATAACTTATGAGGAGGAATCTGGATCGGTGACTTCTCAGATGAATGAATGTGTATAACCTTTTTGTTTTCAGGCTAAAATCATTGATGAGGCTTACAACCTGGTGATAGACGCCATCTTCGGCTTCAGCTTTAAGGGCGCCGTGCGAGAGCCTTTTGGTTCCATCCTGGACGTTTTGAAGAAGACGACGGTCCCCATAGCCAGCATCGACATCCCCTCAGGTCAGTCCTCTCACCATGGAAGCATTTCCAATAAAATGTCGGTGAGTGTAAGTTTTCTGAAATGTGTTTACCTAAGACTGTGAGCCTGATCGTCATGGCTACAACTGTCTACTACTACTACTACTTGTTTATTAACACAGCAGAAGCTGAACCAGGATTGTCAGAATATGACCTTTCAGCATTTTGATGATTTTTTGTTTTGTTCACTTTGATGGGCTCCATCTCTTTCAGAGAAAACAAAGTAGGCAGGGAACATTTTAGTTTTTCTCCGTGCAGAAAGAGAGCACAGCATCCGACACGGCTGTTTATTCTCACACCACGGCGGGCTACATTTTTTGGTGACACCCTCACTTAAACATTGTACGTGCAGAGTAAAGCAAAGGAAAGGTCAAAGTTCTGTCTGTAAATCAAACAAGTCAATGATGTCATGATTGTTGCAGACCAAAGTAGAACATGTAAACTTCCACTGGCTCGTGACTCCTTGTTTGTTTCTTGTTTTTTTTAAAGGCTGGGACGTGGAGCAGGGCAGTGCAGACGGACTGCAGCCCGACATGCTCATCTCTCTCACGGCTCCCAAGAAGTCCGCCTCCTTGTTCAGAGGACGATATCACTTCCTGGGAGGACGCTTTGTGCCTCCTGGACTAGAGAGGAAGTACCAGCTCAACCTGCCTCAGTACCCCGGCACAGACTGCGTGTTACGACTGTAGACGATGTAGAGGTTTCACTGATTGTCTTTAAAGGAAGAGTTCATGTTGTGGTAAACAATTCCCCCTTTTTGTTTATTCAGGAGACAGAAGAGAAGATCAATACCACTCTCATCTATGTGAATTTCCTAATTGGAGTCTAGAGGCGGTTAGCCTAGCTTAGCATTGACACTGGAAACACAGCAACTCCTACAGATTACATGAAGCTCTTTGGTTTTATCCATACTCACACAAAACATAAAAATAATAATTGTACATCTTTCTGGGAGTTTTGCACCTTAGCTGTTGGAAAAATATGGACATGAAAATTTCTCAAGTGCTTAGTCATTACTGCGAGGCTAAACTTACTGCCTGTTTCCACTGAGTCCGCTTTAGCTACTTTCTGTCACTATGTAGCCGGTCGCTCCTTTTCTAGTCAATACACATGTAACAAATTCTACAGAATACACTTCACCATGTTTCTTTAACACTAATATGTGTCACTAGTCCGTCTACAAACCCCCCAGTTATGAGAAAAGTCCATCCTCTCTGTCTTCTGCCTGCTCCACTTGTAGAGACAATGTGTGCTCAAACAGGCCGTTTGGAGATTTTCCCTTCATGACATCACAAAGGGCAGTAACCCCTCCCCCAGGTGGGTGACACTCCCACAGCTAGGTGTTTGTTCTGCCCTCTGAGTTTGCCTTCTCATCATAAACAATAGGGCATGGTGCAGGAAAGCACATGACACCCAAGCCCTTCCAGAGAGGGGGCGTGGTCAAACACAGCTCATTTGCATTTAAAGCTACAGACACAGAAACAGCCTGTTCTGAGCACGGCTGAAATAGAGGGGTTTATAGGCATGATCAAATACAGGATCAGAGTGGATTTAGAACAGGAAACTTCACAGACATGTTTTGTGGAGCTCTCGGACTTATTTAAACTTCCTGAAAAAGAGGATAATATGTCACCTTTAAAGATATTGATTGGTTACGATTGAGTGTACGACGGTGGATGAGATACGAAGGCTGTGTTGTAAAATCAATAAAGAAAAAAAAGATAACTAGAAATGTTTCCCTCATGTCATTTGTTTTCTGTACCTTTCTAAAATACTTCCAGAAAACTTAGGACGTTGACTTTGACTCAAGAAGAGACTTCTCGGTGATGTGATTTTTCAGTTTTTTATTGGGACATCTTAAGATTTTGATTGAATGTACAACTCAACTAGTAACTGGAAAGACAGTCTATCATTGTCCATTACATTCTATTTTAGAAATACCGTTACCATACATGTTGTGTGTCGCATCATTTTTTACACTAGGTGATGTTGATGTCGTAAAAAGCTTTCTTTGATATTCAGCCTCATGTACAACCAACCCCCCCCCCCCATAGTACCAAGTATGTTATATATAAATGTGTGACTACATATACTTAAAGAAATACTGTATGTACAGTATATGCTTTCGACAGTGTGGCTCATAATGCATAATGATTCCTCATGTAAGTGCAGAACATGCTTTTTGCGCTGATTACTATATACAGTGCTGGTACCATGCTCTCTTTGTATGTCATATCCATTGAGTGATCTATGTGGAGGAAAAGGTAAAATAGAGACTCGAGATGCAGCGGAGTTTTCCCCCCGAAGTTGTCTTCATGCAGGCCAGAGGATGGAAGGATGTTTTCAGAGCACAGACGAAGCCTGAAGAGGACAACAGGGATTATGAGGTCACATTATCACATGATTATTATTTATAGAAAAAAACAGGTCACCAATAAAAACTTTAACCTCAAAATTGAGATTTTTAGAAGAGTTTGCTTAAATGTAATCAGTAGAATATAACAGATCAGCAAGAAATCCTCCAGTGATAAAGCGGAGACTGTCTAGTTTTTGTGCTGAGAGATGCTGAGTCAGTTAATCATCCTATTGGAGGAGGAGTTGCTGGTGTGCTGTACAGAAAACAAGACTGGCTGTTCTTGCAATGCATAGTTTAAAGCATTTATCTCAGGATATTTAGTGAATCATTTTGCTGTCACATTCCATTTCTCTTGACAATTTGGTAAATTGATCCTATTACCTCTAGAATAAAAACTTTTTCCAGAGGAAGCTTGAATTATTTATGTCCTTATCCTGTGATAATCGAATATTCTTAATTTCCTTTTATATCACTGTAGCACTGGGTGGGTGGGATCATGCTAAGGAACATCAGTGCGTCATCGATTCCCCAATTTTGCCCCCCTCAAAAAACCTGAACCTCAAAGTGATGAAAAACTTTCAAACGGTCCAAATTCATAATTCAGACGTACAAAGTGCTCAGTCACTCATGTTTAATGTGTTTAGAGACCCATTTTTGATTTTGCCTGGCACAAAGTTTGACATGTATCTCTTTTGTATTATCTAAACATAAACGTAGACATTCATATCGTCTGCATATCAAATATCAAAAATCATCATATCAAAAACAATCATTACATCAAAAATTCCTCAACGTGAGTACAGTCTGATTACTATCAGCGACAGTTGAAAGGGAACGTTTGGCCCTTGACAGTTTTTTGATAATCAGGACTTCTCTCAACAAGAACCCCAAGTTGCTGTAGGAGCTCAAGTCCAAATTTGTCAACAAGGAACTAAGCAGATATCTACATTTAATTTCTTTAGTGTTTTGATAATGACACGTTTTTATTGATCTCATGATGATGCTAACATTAATTTTCACTACAAGAGAACAGCTTACCTGTGCTATTCTCCGACCTGCACCCCCGCCATGTTGTCTTTACTTTCCGAGGCTATGGCTAAATATTCAGCATTTCTAGAAAAAAAGACAAAAGAAACAAACCCTCAGTGGTTATCAGAACTTTCTACCTCACTAAGATGAAATTGGTGAAAAAATGCATTAAATAAGAAAAGAAACATCACAGCTATGGTTGTATAACAGGTTCTTGTTTCTTTTTTGACTTACAGTAAGGAGGTTTTGGTTTTGGGTTTGGTTTTTACTAAGGAGGAGGATGACGGGATGGGAAGGACAAGACGGAAACATGAAAGTAGACACAAGGAGCGTGAGACATGACACAAAGAGAGACACAGTGAAATCACAGACGGACACATTGACGATCTTCAAAATAAGTCGGTAAGAGGACAGGTAAAGAAGACAAGAGAAATAAAAAACAAGGAGAGGGGGTATAACTGCTTAAATAAAGTTTAAAAAGTACGTGTGTGACTTCAGCAGTAGAGCATGAATAAAATATGGCATTATTCATGGCGAAATGCACACTTTAAAAGCATTTATTTCACACCATGTTTTTTTTTTTTGGAAACATGAGATGGCAGGGGAGTTCGTTTTCCAAGTACAGACCCAGTCAAACCAGCATATTCTAGACGAGTGAAAATGTTTGCAGGTAACCTTGGTAACGTAGTGAACCAAGCTGTTCCACCAAGCGGTCCGGTTCAGTTCGATATGGTCGCAAATTATTGAAGTTTCCAATGTCAAAAGTTGGGAATGGTACCAAAACAACCGGTCTGTACCCGCCTACTTTTTTTGTACCCTTCTGTTGGGGTGCCAAGTGTACTGATCTGGCCCTATAGGGTGAAGCTGGACACACTGCAGTCGGTTGATTTGACAACATAATCGTTGTCCATTGTTGCAATGCTTTGTCGCTATCTTCTTCTTTGTTGAATTTAATAGGGGGGCTACACTGTCCGGCTTAGACACCACCGATGAAGTAAGGCTACGGTTGACTGTGGAAACGCAAGCAACATTAGGGTTTATCGTACCAAACTGTACTGAACCAAACAGGACCGCTTGGTGGAAATGGGGCTTTAGTGTACTACTGTAGCTGCCAAGCTAACTGCTAACAAGCCAGCCAGCAGAAAAAATGCTAATGCTAGGAGTCACAGTCTCAAATCACACCTTCTGCTTGTTTTGTCCCTGTTTTGTTTTTTTATGTCCTTCACTGAAGAGTTAGTGAAGAGGTCTCTCCCATAAGGCTGTTTCACTTCAGTCCAGTTCATTGTGGGTTTGTTCATTCAGGTATGACTGGTATGAGGCTGTGGCACTCCTGCATACCTTACCTACCTTAGATCAGGTTGTTTATCTCTGACAGCCTTTTACAGGACAGGTCTTGCTGCTTGACACCTCCTGATTCTCTCCTGGGTTTTTTATAAAAGTGGACTTTGATTGTAGAGGATATCATGTTGTGTTTGCATGTCGATATTTATGTTCTGGCATTGACAGCAAAGATCAGAAGGAGCTGCATGCAGAGCAGTTTTTGTTGTTCTCCAGCATTACTGCATGTTAAGGACCCCAATAATAGACCTGTGTGGAAATGCAATCTCCTGTTTTGCAAGAAGAATTCCTTCCTTTCATTCAGATTTCAGTGCAGATTTGTGCTCTGAATATGGACACAACAGCTGAGGCTTGACACTTTAGATGCAGCACTCATTCTTCTCTCACCAGGCTATAAATCACACAAATCTTATCTTCTGACTTCCGCGTGTAAAAGAACCCGGATCTTCTGCGTGATAATGGACCCATAGAGCATGCGCACCTGGAGTCGCAGTCCTGTGGCTCTGATCGTTCATTATATCTACAAAAAATATCTCTGAATTTGGCTTTAATTGCATTTTAACTAGTTTTAGGAACTAACCATTTAAAAAAAGAAGAAGTTATTTCCAGTGTTCATATTGGGAAGTTAAAGTACCTCAAAAAAATGTATCAACTGATTTATAGACCTCTGCTACAGGGTTGGAAATTAGCTTTTTCGTCTACCTGCCACTGTGACTGGTGGACTCAAGAACCTGCCAGTCACACATCTTTTTCAAGATTCAGTTAACAGGGATTGTTGTCTCAAATCCCTCTGTCCCCTATTTCATTCACCCGCCACCATGGCCGGTAGGTTGAGTAGCTCTGCTAGCTCCCAATGCTAGCTTATGGGACACTGTCTTTTTTGGGCCCAATGGCATCACTTGACACTGCAATACCAGGTTCAGCCACTGTGTAAAATTGGATTCATTGTCTGTGCACTTGGCAATGAAGACTTCCTTCAGCTTTGACCATGGATGTAAACAGTACTGTCAAGCGTTGCAAGCCAGGTTTGATTAATTCCAATAAAAAAGTTGCTCTATGGCATGCATAGACTTACCAACCCTGCCAGCTTTGATTTGAGCTTGACAGCTAATTGACGGTCAAAGTCGCAGAAATGTTTTCATCAGTCACAGAAAATAATTTCTCATCCATGTAAGAAAACTCTGCAATCCTTCAACATCGCCCCGGGGAGTTGAAGGTTCCCTCATGCCTTGAGCACTACGAGCATGCAGATGGAGTCAATGAAAGACTTACGCTGCTTCTCGTAATGCTTCTTCCCCAGCTGCTGCGATCTTCCGGTAACAGTATATCATCTCTATGAGGAGCCACACCTGAAGGCCAATGATGGTCACGTACATCATGACCTCAGACACGATGGAGGCCGTTCCTCTGGTGGCTGCAAACACGACATGGAGAAATTAATCAGGGACGCCTGCTGTTAGCTCAGTCTCATTTCCTGCCCTCTCATCCCCTGGTGACAGGGTGAGATCACTGGATTACTGACTAGTGAGTGTCCGTTATACTGCCTTTTTTTATGGAAGGTTGTAGAAGATTGTAAACCTGTTTTATAACATATGCTGACTCTTTGGACATGGTGTCTCCTAATACACAAGTAGTACGCAAATAAATCAGGCAAGCTTCTCATGGCCATTCATGTTGATGGATGTCTCTTATGGTGCAGAGAGGAGGATGGGATCTAGAGTTGATTTATTACTTCAGCTTTAATGTAGAGTCACTTTAATAAGGTGTAAGAGTGTGACTATATAAAAACAGAAATCTGCATTGAAATCATGTTTCTTGGGGCTGTAGAGGTTGTGCGATAGCTTAATGTTGTTCTTATTTTTTTATATCTCTTCATTGCTACGTATTATGTTGAATGTGGGTAATTTGAGGTTATAATTTTCTAAAACTGCTCTTATCACATGTTGTGTTTGACTTAATTCTACTGTAGAAACAGCTAACTATGTAAAGCATTAGGCCTAGTCCACCATAGGCGGGTAGGCTTTTCTGTGTGTTTATAATTATATAATGCGAAAAATATGTGTGCAATAACCTCAGGTGCAATAAGAGATGTAGAAAGTAGAGACAAGAAAACATATTTATCTTGTCATTTCATTATACAGTGTTCCCCTTTGTTATTTTTTTGTATTAAATCTTTGCTTTATTACAGTGTATAGCTTCTGTACAGTTTATTTTGATTTTCTTAGCTGTTACTAAACTTATTTTTTTATTTTTTTATTAGTACTTTTCTACTCTTTTTTTCTTATAATGCTATTCTATTTTATATATAATTTTAACTTTTTTGTAGAAGCTGACTCAGGGAGAAACACACAAAAATTCCAATGTAACTGTACTGTCTTGTACCTGTGCAAATAGCAATAAACATCTATCCTATTCTATTCTTTTGGGAACATTTCAGCATGTCAAGGAAATCCTTTTTTTGACTTGGCATGCTCATGACGGCCGTAAGTTGCGTTTTTCATGTGGACGAAGATGTTTTTTGAGAACATAGCGTGTGTGGACGGGATTATTTTATGAAACGGAAGAGGAAAACCTCCGCTTAAAAAAAAAAACCTGCTTATGTGTGGACTAGGCCTTAGTGTGGGGGAGATCAAACTGGTCACTCAACTGAGTGTGGGGAGGAAATCGTCTCAGTGCAGTGTCAGGTGTGTGTGACGGATTGGCCCTGATATGGTGTGTTAGGTCTATATATCCCCTTGAGTTGCAGCGACTCGTTGTCTCACCATCAGAGATCGTTAGTGGTTCTCTCTGTGTTTCTTGTGTCTTTTAGAAGTGTGTGATTCTGCATGAGCACCACTTGACTTGCTTACTATTTCCAGCAGTTCTACAAGTGTAGTTTATTGGTGCTGGGAATTTCTGACCTAGCCTATTTGTTTCTTTGTAGGCAGCTGTAGTTTGGTTTCTCTTAAGCGACAACCTCCGGTGTTGAAAGATGAAGCCAATGTGGAAGTGCAAAACCCTGCAGGTTGTGGAGGGTCCGCTTGAGGCTGACACCAAGAGCCCCGGAAATCACATAGACATCACGTTCAAAAAAGCCAGTTTTGACAGCAGAAATGAACATGTTTACAGCCTGGTCTGATTAGTTATTGTCCTCATGGGCACACACTGGACTGGAACTACAATGTAATGCACTATGGACAATGTGTGTTATCCATAGTTGGGCGCATAGCTGACATGATTGATAGGTAGGCCTGGTGTAACAGTTTGTCAGGAGGCTTAAAACCCGCTTCAGTTTCAGCTCTCAGTCTGTCGTTAGTTTGACTGAAAGTTAGACTGAAAGTTAGACTGAGCAGGATTTCCAGCATGGCGGCTGCTGCCGATGAGCCTCCAGGCCCCCTGCAGGAACAGATGGGTGACGTCACTCAGGCTTTGTCCTTCATATTGTAAGTGGGTGTGCAAAGGGATCTGGAAAATTGCCCTTTGCTTCACTTATTATGGTCTGGAAACTTTACATTCTTAATCAGTTTAGATGTATTTGATAGCTAACAGACTGAAGTGTAAACACTGACACAACTACAATTGATCCAATTCCTTAAGGAGGCTTTTTCAAACCTCATGAAATATGAGTTCTCTTTGCACTAATGGTCATAATAATATAATATTAAAGTCCACAACCATTAAATGCTTAGTCAGACCTCCATAGTTAGAAAGTCTGATGACCTCACCATGCAAGATGGACAGATTTTTCAATGTATTGTAACTAACTTTTCCCAGCCGTATTCCTAAATCCTGAAATGATCGATTCTTCAATCATGATTCACAAACGTTATAAAGCAGTCCAGTTGCTGCCATCATACCTTTAGCCACCACGGTGAGGTGGACCACCTTGCTGATGATAGTGTTGTACTCGTAGAACTCGTAGAAGAGGATGCGGTTTAAGAAGCATTGGTAGGTTCCCGAGTCGTTGAAGGTGACGTTGAGCAGGTATATAGACGCATCTTGGATGTCGTTGCTTCTCTTACTTCCGTTCCAGTCTACGCGGTCCATGAAGTGGTCGTGTTCGATGGTGGGGCCGTCCTCGTTGTAGGTGTAGATCTTGTAAACACAGAGGAATCGAGGTTAATCAGAATGCTGATACATTCACACCGCACACAAACCATGTTTAACCATTTTGTCAGACTTAATGTGCAGCAATCATCATGGTTTAGTACTTTTGCAAATGAGGTTACTAGAGTGTTCTTTGGAGGATTTCACGACCCACAAATAAAATTAAAGTGACTGAAGAGCTGGATTGAAATGAAAGAAACACGTGTGAATTTAAGTATTAACTTTCTGTATGTTTTCATTTTTTATTGAATAATCTTTTTCAACTTACAATCTGTGATTTTTGTTCAAAAAATGTAAATTCAAAATCTAGAAATTGTGGGCTAGAGTTGCTGGAAATGGGTACAAATGGTAATAAACATCTGCAGAAGTGTCAGACATTCACGTGACAAAATACAATCTGCTCTGTTTTTCTGAATTTACGTTGTATCGGTTCCTCAAAAATCCCAACACAAGCTCTCATTTCGGTACATACAGTATGCATCGGAATCGGATCAGAACTGAAAAAAAGTACACTTCTGCACTACTCTATTCTGATCTGATCCCCAAGACCCCAGTGCATGCAGGTTCAAGGAGGAATTGATTGTCATGCTTCCCATATACCACACCCAGTACACAGGGGAAGGATACAGATAAAAATAAAAAAGTCTAGACGACACAATCCTCAAGGTTTGTATCTTGTTTTGAACTGAGTCAGGTCACACACAGAGGGCTGTCGCACAACAACTTGAAGTCTTCCCATGATAGGATTTCTCATAAGACCCCTCCCTTCTTCCCTGCACTATTTGTTCGTGTATCTCTTGGCCCTTCTCACAAAAGGGCCCCTTCATCCTCAGCTCCCTCCCCAGTCAGACTCCCCCCTCACATCTGGTATTTGATTTTTCTAAAGCTACACTGAAACGTCTTGAGGCTTCATGATCGCAAAATCCACTCCAGCCAATTTCTAGAGGATCCAGAACAAGGCCGGCACAGATGGACTGTGTCGTCCCCGGAGCCTTAATGGTCTCTGCGCTGTTAAATATCACAATCAATTCCAACTGAACCTCACGATGGCCTCCGCATCGGCCGCCATGATGTTATCGAGGGCGGAAGTGTGTGTGTGTGTTTATGTGAGTGAGTGTGTGAGAGAGATGTAAAGGATGTTAGTTTGACTGTGCTCCTTTACAGCATGCATATCTAAATAGTCGTGTGTCTTGAGGAATGCAGCCTGAGATAAGTTGTTCTTAAGGATGCTCCACAATGTGCTGCATCAGAAACACTTCCTGCTGGCACCAGACTAAAAAACTCTCCAGGGACTGTATACTCACATGAACAAAGTCGGCCTCTCCTTTGGCCCTGAAGTACCACTCGACTGTGGCGGCTCCATCCACCTCACTCCTCCTCTTGCAGGAGATGCAGCCCAGCTTGAAGCCCTTTCCTGCTACGGCCTCTGTGTCAGAGTCCACTTCTGCACACGCCCCGTCACACTGGTACACTGTTTACAACCCAAGAGAGACAATCGTTACTATCTGTTTACATAATGTATGGCAGCAGATTATGAAGGGCTGCACACAATAAGCTCAACTCACCGAACAGGCTGCAGAGAAGGGAGAGGAGCAGGAGATGTGCTGTTCCTGCTGCTGCTGCCATGTTAATGGATGTTAGAGCAGCTTGTTTGATTTGATGAGGAGTCTCCAAAAAGTCCAAACTTTAACACCGACGCAAGAATGGAGCTCCAACAGAAAGCACTCAGAAACTGAGCACTTCCAAGTTTGTAAAGGTGAACAGTTTCAATTTGTTTTTTCCTTGAGCAGTTTATTCTAAAAGTTGTGCATCAGCAAAGAGCTGCAAACTGTGTGACAGGAGTCCTGCAGCTTAGACATGCATTGTTAAGTTCAAAATGTATCCGCCTACAAGCCGTCCTTTTACTCAGAAATTTGTTGATGGGGGTCCCAACAGTGGGGCCACTGTTTCCGATCTTTGGCACAAGCCAGCACCAGTTTCCTGTTGTTCACAGGATTTGCTGCCAGATATTATTGCTGCTTTTAGAGACCCTTCCCTTCTATCTATTCAGCTGATGCAGCCAAGTGGTGGCTTTTTGTACTTTTAATTATGGAGGCGCACATGAAACAATCCAGATATCTGGTGACTCACAGTGTTCCCCAGAGCAACACCCTGAGATTTGATTGTATTTCTCCCTGAGGATCCTAATGTGAGATGCACAGATCAGGCATTAAACCCCGCCAGAGGACACATGCTCAGCTCTCCTCTTTGGCAAAATACAGACAGCACGGGTATACACAAAGCTTATTTTAGATTCTGTGCAACATGAAAGCTACAGACTGAACGTCTTCAATACAATAACACGCTAGTGCATATACAATTAATTTGCATGCTCTTGGATAAGAATTAAATGGCTACCTCTTACAGGCTACACGATACTAATATTTAATGCAGAACAATCTAATGGCCTAAAGATGCTTATCCTCAATCGGATCTCTGAAATCAGAGCCTACTGTCCTGCTGTAGAGGCCTCCCTCTGCTCGAGTCCTCTATCCGGAGGAGAGAGAGAAAAAAAAAAGATGCTGTCCTCTTTCTGCGATGACAGCTGACTGTGGAAAAATGTGGAAATGTTTCATCTGATCACTCCGCGCTCGTAGTAGAGATGCTTCTTGGGTCGTGCAGGCATTGCAGATCAAATACTGCGCTTGCACACACGGCTACATAGAAGCCAGCCCAGCCAGAAAAATAAAAAATATCACAAAACGTGCCCAGTTCACGGTGTTTTATTCCTACGCCACAGCGGCACCTCTGTCGCTCTGATCGCAGGATGCTGCAGATGCACTGCGGTAAAAAACGGTAGTGCGTGTATGACCAAGCAGACTCCCAATATACACCGACAGCTCAGCTTAATCCCGGCTGTTTGTCAAGTCAAATAGCTTATATTTTTTTCTAGGAACAGCAACGGGGGCTTCACTAAGCCTTCACGGCCACATTCAATGAGAAATAGAAAAGGTTTTATAGTCGTGGTAGAGCGATTCACTGATATTATTGTGAACTGGCCCTTTAAATTGACTTGAGTGGGGCGGGGTGAGAGCGCAGGGCCACTGCTTGCGGTGCCTTCACGGGGGTGTGGGACCCATCGTAAAAATGACCTTCCAAATTGGAAAATGAACTTGAAGGCGCTTGAAGTTAAGAGCAACAGGGAAACTCGTCTAAAATGTTGTACCTGACTTTCTGAGTCGACATAAATATCTGTTGGCTTGATGTTTAAAGGGCACATATTGTAGAAAATCCAATTTGACAGTGTTTTTTTTTTCTCACATATTTGGATAATCTGAGCCACAAAATGTGAACTAAACCCATCCAGTCCTTTGATTGTGGTCTGCATAAGTCTTACAACACAGTGAAAAGTGCTCAACTTGTTACGTCAAAGTGGGATTCTGGAAAATAAATACCCTCCCCACCCCTGAAATCTCCACCCATGGACTCCACCCCCAGCATGGGGACAAGGAAGAACTTCCTTTAAGAGGCAGAGACCTTGAGCAGAACCAGACTCTGCCGAAACTGTGTTGGGCTTTGAAAGTAGGATAGAGGAGAGGCAGGGAGAAGGAGAAGGATATATGCACATTTCAAAAGTCTGCAATAAATATAAAAGCAATTACGATTTAAAAAAAGAAAGTATTCCTCACTCATATATGCACGTTATCAAATGAATGGAGGCCCAGATATAATGTCTAAGCTTCAACAACCTGCAGCACAGCACAGGCGCACATACGAGACACCGCCTTAATTACAAGTTCACTTTTTCTGCTCATTTGTCAATTTTTATTGACATTATTGGCTACTAACCGTAAGTTGCCATCCACGTACAAACACCCAAATGATTTCCGAACAATTACATATAATATACACTATATTCTGCTGTCATATTAGGCTAGGGTGAATTCGCCAAATATGGGACAATTTCTGCATTTTAGACTTTTGAGATATATTGCAACATGAAGCTATACATTAAATTCACACCCAAGAAATATGCAACATAACTTATTCAATCATATTTTTTTTTTTACCAGAGATGTACTAAGGTTTCTTAAAAAAATATCATTCAGCGTGGAAAAAACGACCAATAAGTCAACAAATAGCTCCACTAAACAGGAAACGCATACAATCATAACAGGCATATGTGAATGCAAACTGTCCCACATTAGGCAAGTCATACTATTCATTTAAAATAACAAATAAAGAATTTATTTAAAACATTATATAATTTTTTTTGATGAACAAGCATGTCATAAAAACATCCAGATAAAAAAAAGTAGGATTGTTTTATTTAATATAAATGTATATCCTTAACATGAAGTTTGTCTGAACAGTATGTCCCTGACCTTTGGGTGGTCTTCACGCTGCGTACTTCATATTTGAACTTGTATCATTATAATCTATGACTGGACATTTGAGAAGTCGTGTTATTTTGATCACATGACATCACAACTTGTGTTAACCCTTAGTTTTATTGACTTTCATTTGTTGTAGGAAGACCTCCACCCACTTGAGCTTAGGTGTCCCCACATTTGGCTAATTCCCCCTACATCTTAATTACGACTGAACTGCTTTGAAAGTGGCTGTGTGACCTCTCCATCCAGGTGCAGGGTCATGTGTCCAAGGCCCATCGCTGCGTCCTCACCTTACTTTCATGACCAGGTGGGAAGGATACATCAGGGGGTAGTTTTACTGCGTGTGCACAATCATCCATTTATGACCCCCACCCCCCCCCTCCCCTATCTATTGTCAGGTGTTACTGAAGAACGTTACACTCGAGTTTAGGTGTCCCACATTTGGCTAATTCACCCTATAATCTTAATTACCCGAACTACTTTGAAAGCTGGGTTCTCCGAGCATCGCGATAAGCACTTGAATGCAGCATTACAATCAACGCTCGTAAACTTGTGGACAGTTTTGTAATTATAACCTCGATACTTACGCCATAAACAAAAAAGACGCAGTTTAACGTGACCAGTGCGATGGCATTTAACAATAACTCAAACCCATTTTGGCACCCAACACCCCCTCATCATGTTGCGTTTAAGGACGCCGATGTTGCTCTTTCAACCAGCTACCAACAACTGCGGGCAAGCTGCCGTTAGCATTTAAGATAGCTCGTTGTTTTCCACTTGAAGGAGTGTTTTCGTTGTGTCTAGGTTCTTTGAATGATAATGTTGTGATTGAGATGGCGAGGCTCGTTCACTCTTGATTACAAAGCTGGACATGAAGACACATTAAAGGTATAGTAACTCAGCTATAACATGGACGGCTAACCAGCGAGCTACATGCTAACACAGACTCACAGTAAGTCACATATAACACCACTTCATGACCAATGTAAACAATGCTTTTATATCATGATGTGGTTTATTTCATATCTGCTTTTCACTGTATATCTTCACTGACAATACATCCAGGTCTAATCTGATGTTAAAGCTAAAATTAAAATGTTATAAATCCATAAAACAGTCAGTATTCAGTCAGACAAAAGGAAGAGGCCACTTATTACACATTTGCAGGCTGAAACTAGCCACCAAAAAAGGTCTGAACACATTTGCAGTAACTGATAAAGTGGTTGCTATTTTAGGTAATCTTGTATTTTTAATCATACAAGGCAAGGTGAGGTTATTTATATAGCACATTTCAACAACAAGGTAATTCAAAGTGCTTCACACAAGACATCAGAAAACATCATAACAGAGGAAAGAAAATAAACATTAAAATAGAACATAAAAAAAAATCAAAAAAATCACTGGAATTATTAAATCTGAAAATATGTTCAAATAAAAATAATTCAAATGAAATTAATTTAAATAAATAAAGTAAAAATATAAAAAGAGTTAAAAGTTAGTCTTCAACCTGGATTTAAAAGAGCTGAGAGTTTTCAGCACACCTGCAGTTTTCTGGGAGTTTGTTCCAGATATAAGGAGCATAGAAACTGAACGCTGCTTCTCCGTGTTTGGTTCTGACTCTGGGGACAGAGAGCAAGATCTGTCCCAGACGACCTGAGCGGTCTGGACACAGACACAGTGCAGTCAAACCTCAGCTTAAACAGAAAAAAAAAAGTGACAAACATTATATCTCTGTAGTCTTCTTCAAGTATTTGACAAATCTGTGTGTTTGAACTCTTTCAGTCTTCTCCACAGTTTTGTCTAACCATGGATCCGACCTGTAGCGCTGCCACTACTCCCGCTGGTCTGACTGTCCAGGTTTGTTTCCCTGGAGCCCGAGCTGCTGTTTTGGACAATCTGAACCGGCAGCGGGAAGAAGGCCGGCTGTGTGACCTCTCCATCCAGGTGCAGGGTCATGTGTTCAGGGCCATCGCTGCGTCCTCGCTGCATCCTCACCTTACTTTCATGACCAGGTGGGAAGGATACATCAGGGAGTAGTTTTACTGCGTGTGCACAATCATCCATTTATGATATAATTGTTTTCCTCCTATCTCTTGTCAGGTGTTACTGAAGAACGTTACGACTGTGTCCCTCCCCTCGGTTATGGACCCAGTGGCCTTCGAGAGTGTCCTGAGCTCTGCATATACAGGCCAGCTGAGCATCGTGCATGACGACATCGTTAACTACGTGACTGTGGCCAGCTTCCTCCAGATGTGGCACATCGTGGATAAATGCACTGAGATCCTAAAGAGGCCCCGGCCCTCAGCAGAGGTCACCCCTAGTGAGGCTGCAGCAGCAGCAGCAGCAGCAGTAGCAGCAGCAGCTCCCCCTGGCACTGCGTCTCGTCAGCAGTCTCCCAGCAGCACAGACTGCTTATATGTGGAGAGAGAGGGAAGGAGGAAGGAGAGAAAGCCTGATGCTTTGCCCCCATTGGCTACATGGAGACGCCCGCAGCAGTTTCCCAGACTGGGTCGCCCTCGGCCCTCACCAGCCCAGCACTTAGCTGACTCTCAGCTGGACACCCTCTCTTGCTATGTGGAGAGTGATTACACTAGCTCTGAGGAAGCATGGGTATCCAGCCATGCCAAAACCAGCCACTACGCCCATGACGGACCCGGTCACAATAGCAGGCACAACGGGGCGTTCTCAAGTGGTGAGGCATTAAAGCAGAAAGTCAGGTTCCATCAGCGGGGACTGCTGCAGAGCGCCGATAGACTGCTTGATAAGAGTAGAGAGATTGGAGACAGCGATGAGGCACAAGAGAGGAGGAAGAACGAGAAAAGAGAGATTGAGGCTGATGAGGGAGTAGGAGAGGAGGCGGTGGTGGAGAAGAAAGAAGGCTTTGCACAAATGGGACACTGTGGTAAGATATAAAAGCCTTTTTTTAACTTTCCACCCGTCAGTATGTCTCCGTCCAACACAATGGCTTGAAGCAGACACATAGTTTAATAGTTTCATGTAGAAAATCCAATTAGTCTTTTTACTCCTCACTGATTACTTCAATAAATAACCATTGTACAGAGGGCCATTTCTTAACTTTCTTCTTACTGGAAATGTGCAGTTATTTCCCAATTTGTACCTCTTGACCAGTGAAAACTAGGTGAATTTTATATAGCCGTAAAGCAGGAAATGAAACAGTCACCGGAGTAGCTTGTGAGTACCTTCAACAGCAGGGGCTTCCCACTGATGGTGGTATTTTCCTTTCAAGGCCAGCGACTGTTTCGAGCAGAGACTGGTTGGCATTTAGCAGTATTATATCTTATCACTAAGGCTTCTGCTCATGCAGCAGACAACCCGGTTCCTTTACTCATCATGGAGTGAAGCTGTATCTTGGCAGTGAGTAAGGAACACAAATAAACTTGGTGCATTGGAGTGAGTCACTGTGCAGGTCATTGCAAACTTAGCGAGCACTGTACACAAGGCCGAATACTGTAAAGCAACATGAGTGGGCAGTCAAAAAAACCTCACAGTCTGCAGCCTCCAACCTTATTTATTTATATCTAACAGTTTGAAAGGCTTGTTTTAATCTGAGTTTCTTTAGCCGTGTAAACAGCCTGGTAAATAATCGTCC